TGTGGTCGTTTAAACCCTGAAAATCCGTGCATGAAAAAGACTGGAAATTGTAAAAAATTTTACCCTAAGGAATTTTGTGACAAAACTGCTCATATCAGTGATGCTTACCCTAAGTACATGCGTCGTAATAATAATATTTGTATAAAGGTTAGGGGTCATAAATTAGATAATCGTTGGGTAATTCCGTACAACCCATACCTTCTTGCAAAGTTTAATTGTCACCTGAATGTTGAAGTCTGTTCCACAATAAAGGCAGTTAAATATATATATATATAAGTACATTTGTAAGGGGCATGATAAAATTGCTTTCCATGTAGATTCCAGTAAGCCTTTTTGAGGAAATTGATGAGATAGAGCAATATCGTACAGCGCGTTGGATCTCACCACCAGAGGCCGCTTGGCGTATTTTTAGGTTTCATATGGGGGACATCAAGCCCTCCGTCAATCACCTGCAAGTGCATCTACAGAACTATCAGCGCGTCGCTTTTAGAAAGAGAGATAGATTACAAGGAATTGTGAATAATCCTCATAATAGGAAAACTATGCTCACTGAATTCTTTTACATGAATGCTAATGATCCGTATGCGCAATTGAAAAATCTCACTTATGTAGAATTCCCAAAGTATTTTGTGTGGCTGTCAACAGAAAGACGTTGGAAAAAACGAATCAAACGTGATTGTGTTGGTAGATTAGCAACTGTACATATTAGCGAGGGAGAATGTTATTATCTTAGATTACTTTTGTCGAAAATTCGTTGTCCGAAGTCATTTGATGATTTACTGTTTTATAATGGCAGGTATGCGGAGAATTTTCGGGAGGCAGCACTTCATAGAGGGTTATTACAGGACGATAACAGTCAACAGTTATGTCTTGAAGAGGCGTCCAGGTATCAAATGCCTTACGAAATGCGGCGGTTATTTTCAAATCTCTTGGTCTATGCATGCCCAAATAATCCAAAACAGTTGTGGGAAAAATTTGAGGGAGAGTTGTGTGCGGATTTATTTAGGAACGCTAGATTAACTGCTGGTGAGGCAAAACTAAAAGCACTTGTACAGGTCGGTGGTTTTTTGGAATCGATGGGTAAAAATATCAGGTCTTTTAATTTATTACCTGCCGATTTTGATTTTGGTGCTGAAAAAAACACGCGGGAGGTTGATGCTGAGAGGAGCATAGTTGTTTCTGAAGATGACCTAAACATTGTTAACCTCCTGAACAGAGAACAAAAAAAGGCCTTTGATGTAATAATGAAATGCATAGATGATAGGAAAAAGGGTGCCTTCTTTGTTGATGGACCGGGGGGTACTGGTAAATCCTTTCTTTATAGGGCCTTGCTTGCAATTGTGCGTTCAAAAGGTGGTATTGCTCTTGCCACTGCAACATCTGGTATTGCTGCGTCCATATTACCAGGGGGTAGGACGGCGCATTCTAGGTTCAAAATCCCTATTGATTTGTCGGATATCAAGTCTTGTAGGATTAGTAAACAGAGTATCTTGGGTGCCTTGATTCGGGATAGTAGGCTAATTGTTTGGGATGAAGCACCCATGGCTAAAAGGGATACCATTGAGGAACTAGATTTGGCTCTTCAAGACCTTTGTGGGTCTGCAGAAATTTTCGGTGGTAAGGTGATAGTCTTCGGTGGTGATTTTAGACAGGTGCTTCCGGTTGTCCGTAGGGGCAGTAGGAAAGAAACTGTTGATGCTTGCCTCACTAGCTCAGACCTATGGCCTCAACTTAAAAAAATAAAATTGACAGAGAATATGAGAGCGCGTTTAGATCCTTGGTTTACTGAAATGCTACTCAAAATAGGCAATGGGCAGGAAACAACGTTTGAAGATGATCTTATAAAGATACCTGCTTCTCTAGCCCTTGCCGACCCAGTTTCCGAGGAGTCACTGGATGAACTCATAACAACAATATACCCAAATTTAGCAAGTTTAACCGAGATGAACCTCTCCATGAATCGAGCCATTCTAACAACAAAGAACTGTTTTGTTGATGAGGTCAATAAGAAGCTTATTAACGAGTTCCCCGGTGATTTGGTCGAGTACTTGAGTTTTGATAGAGTTGAAAATCCTTCTCATGAAGCTGAATATGGTGACATCATCAACTCGCTTACACCAAGTGGTCTTCCAGAGCATAGGCTGAGCCTAAAGGAAAATGCACCGGTCATACTGCTACGCAATCTAGACCCTACCGAGGGATTATGTAATGGAACAAGACTGATCTGTAAAAAACTAGATAAAAATGTAATTTATGCAGAAATTGCAGTCGGTGACTTTTCAGGCAAGAGTATTTTTATACATAGGATACCATTTGAACCCCCAGCAGATGAGCAATATCCAGTCCCCTATACACGCACACAGTTTCCACTGCGTTTGTGTTTTGCCATGACAATAAACAAGGCCCAAGGCCAAACACTGGACCGAGTGGGCGTTTATTTGAGAGAACCAGTATTTTTACATGGGCAACTTTATGTTGCACTTTCACGCGCTAAGACTGCTACCTCTGTCAAGCTGCTGATAAAACCACCATTTTCAATGAACATCGTCTAAATTACACGAAAAATATTGTTTACACTGAAGTGTTGCAGACAGCTCAAATTGTTTGAGTAATGGGAGTTGAGGTTAGTTTTGCACAATTTCAACCTTCATTGGTTCTGCATGAATCCAAATAAATTTGTCCCTTTTTTTTAACAATCAGTCTGCGGTTTGTAATTGCTGGGACATGTTGCGTGAGTTAGGCGCAGTTAGAGATGCGCCTTATTGCTATTTTGTCCTGTTGTTGTGTTTATTTTTTGTTAAAGTACTATAATGCAGTGCATTGATAATTCTCCTTATTTCAGAGTTGATGCAACATTGTTTTGCAGATTACAGCAACTGTAGATTGCTTGTCAGCATATGTTTTGTCCACGCTCCAAACATGCTTAAAAAATAACGCGCATCACAACACCGACGCCTACACCCTAAGTATGCTGGGACCAACCTATTGATGGTGTGTTAAATGTAACCTGTTCCTCAGCAAGCAGGTGCATTCTGGAGAAAAATGTTTGGAGTTGAGGAGGAACAATACCTTTGGTGTATTTTTTTGCAAGTTATGCTTAGATTTGTGTATCTGTTGTATATTGTGTTGCCCAGGAACATGATCATTCATCTCTGATCAACTTTTGGGTTTTAATTTTTGGATAAAATAGTTTTGCTTTCTTTTTAAGCTGCCATGTTCTTTTGCATTAATGCCTTTGTATATAAAACATATTTTTCTCCAGAGCAATCAATTCATTGCTTACTACAAATGTTATTGATGTTTGACAGTTTTTGGTTTAAATTTTTGTGATGAAATGGTTGTGCTTGGTTTTTAGGGTACCATATTCTTTGCCTTAATCCCTTTGTATTTTACACATATAGCCTGGAAACTAAAGAGTTGGAAAATAGCACAATATTCATTATATTGAAAGTTTGTTATTATTATAATAGATTACCTCCTCCTACCACTTTTGTTTTTCCAAGTGATACTGGTATTTTATTTTATATTTTGTTATGAGTACTTACTTATGTGTTATGTTATGTCAATAGTGGTCTTGTTGTTTTTTTTATAGATTTTGTGTTTTGCATTTCAGCCCGTAAAGGAAAACAACAGAGGGAGAAGGGGTTGCTGTGAGGATGATTGCTACCAAGTACGTAATTTTTTGGGGGCCATTTTTTTTGCCTTTTTATGTCATGGGGTGTTGGTTTCATAGACTTTATCAGTCATTATTGGGCCTCTTTGTGTATGCACATTTGATTTAACTATAAAGCTGTGAACTTTGCTGAGAATCTTGGGGTTTCTCAATTGATGGTGTCATTTTTTTCAAATTTGATGTGAACCCAAATTTTTTAAAATTGATGGTGGCCTTTTCATGTAATGGGATGTAAGTTTCATAGACTTTATCTGTCATTATTGGGCCTGTTTGTGTATGCACATTTCATTGAACCCGAAAGCTGCGAACTTTGAAGGATTCTCAATTGATTGTGCAAATTCATAGCTTCACTGTGCAGATCCATAGCTTTCCTTTTAAAGATTCTCAATTTGTTTTGCTTGCAGGGGTATTTACAAATAGAGTTAGCCTCACTTACAGGCCTGTTCCACTTAGAATCTCTGGAACAAAATGTAAGCCTTTTAACGTATAACGAATATTGCAAATCTCTCAAAGAAGCTGGATCTTCTTCAGGAAAACAGAAACACAACTAACTGGGAAGATTGGATTAGCACAAAAAGAGAGCTCAAAGCTGCCCACAGATCTGAGGAAATTTTTTGGCAACAAAAAGCCAAAGTTCAGTGGCTGAGGGAAGGTGACTGCAACTCGAAATTCTTTCATGCATACACTATGCAGAGAAGAAGACAAAATGCAATCACTAGACTTGTTACAAGTCAGAACAGAGTCTGCAACACTCACAAGGAAATTCAAGATCATATAACAGATTTCTACTCTGAACTTTTTACCTCAGAAGGATCATGGGGAGAAGATTCCATCCTTCAGCTAATTCTTCACTCTGTCACCTCTGATATGAATCTTCAGCTCTTAAAAGCAGTAGATGAGGAGGAGATCAAAGCAACTCTCTTCAGCCTTCACCCTGAGAAATCTCCAGGAGAAGATGGTATGACAGCTTTGTTTTATCAATCTTTCTGGGAAACTATTAAACCTGAATTAGTTGCTGCTATAACTAGTTTCTTCCACAATGATGGTCTTCTTCTCAAATATTGGAATCACACTATAGTCTCATTGATCCCTAAATGCTTGAACCCTGATTTCATCACTCAGTACAGACCAATCAGTCTTTGTTCTGTAGTCTACAAAATTCTCTCCAAACTTCTTGCCACAAGGTTGCAAAACTGTTTGAATGTTTGCATTAGTGAATCACAGTCTGCTTTTATTAAGGGCAGACAAATGTTGGATAATGTCATTGTGGGGCAGGAGGCTTTCCATTTTCTTAATAGGCACAACTCAGGGAGGAACTGCTTTATGGCTCTGAAACTTGATCTTATGAAAGCCTTCGACAGAGTTGAGTGGATTTGTATCAAGAAGATCATGCTGCAGATGGGATTTCACAGTAACTTTGTTAAACTAATCATGATCTGCATTTCTTCTTGTTCTTACTCTTTCAAAGTTAATGGAGATGTTTGTGGCTATGTCTTACCTTCAAGAGGTATTAGACAAGGGGATCCTCTATCCCCGTACTTATTCATAATTGTTGCTGAAGTTCTTTCTGCTTTGGTTTCAGAGGCTCTCTTCTCAGGTTCTTTATCAGGCTTAAAACTCTCCAAGAATGGCCCCACAATCTCTCATTTACTCTTTGCAGATGACTCCCTGTTCTTCTGCAAAGCTAGCAGTGATCAAGCCTACACTATTCTTTCAATTCTGGAGAGATACAAACTTTTCACTGGGCAAACAGTCAATTTAAGCAAGTCTTCAGTTTGTTTTAGCAGGAACACTTCTGACCACCTAAAATCCAGCATCTGCTCAGTCCTTAATGGTATCACTCCTCAGAGATCTACAAGATATTTAGGCCTCTCTCTGGGCATTGGGAAGTCTAAGGTTGAAACCTTCAGTTACATTGTGGACTCTGTTCAAGCAAAGCTTCAGAGTTGGAAATCCAAACTCATATCCCAAGCAGGTAAAGCTGTTCTTATCAAAACAGTTCTTCAAGCCCTCCCAATCTTTTCTATGTCATGCTTCAGACTTCCCAAAACCCTCTGTGCTTCAATTTCAAAACTATGCTCTAATTTTTGGTGGAATTCTGGGGAAGAGCTCTCTCAAGGGATTCATTGGAAAGCCTGGCATTTGCTCACAATTCCTAAAGATGAGGGAGGTTTAGGCTTCCTTGACCTGCAGCTTCTCAATGTAGCTCTTCTATGCAAACAATTATGGAGGATCACCACAAAACCAAATCTCTTGGTCAGCAAGCTGTTAAAGGACAAATATTACCCCAATTGTTCAATCTTTGAGGCTGTTAAGACCCAAAACTGTTCCTGGTTATGGTCCAACTGGCTTGATGCCATCCCAACCTTTGCAAAAGGATTTGCTGTGATGATTAGATCTGGTTATTCAACTAGAATTTCAGATGTGAATTGGGTGCCTCAGCTCAGTCACCTCAAGCCTTCTTTGCTGGATTTTGCTGAGGGCCACTTAATTTGGGTGAAGGAATTGATCAAGGATAATGGTCTGGAGTGGAATGATTGGTTATAAGTCTTTAATGAGGAAGACAGCAAAGCCATCCTCAACATCAAAACTCTTAAGCCTAACTCTGCAGACAAGCAGCTCTAGAAATTTCACTCCAAAGGTACATTCACAGTTTCTAGCACTTACTCATTCTTAATTCAACAAAAACTTCTGTCCCTGGACTTGCCAAGCTGTAGCAATTTGAGTGCTAGAACATTGACCAAAACTAACAACAGACTGTGGAAATTAAAAGTGATGGGGAAGGTTAAATTATTTGTCTGGAAATGCCTTACTAACTGCCTTGCTGCCAAAACAAATTTGATCAAGAAAGGCCTGCAGCTTGATGTGATTTGCTCCATCTGTGGTGAAGCACCTGAATCTGTCCCTCATATCTTATTCAATTGTAAAAGGGCAGCTGAGTTATGGCACATATCCCCTGTCACTTGGGACATCAATCTCTCTCAAGATTTATCCTTCAAAAGCTGGTGGCTCCATGTCTGTTCTGTGGACAATTCAGAAACATCAGAGGCCCGTATTCAATTGTCAACATACATCCTCTGGTGGCTCTGGAAAACCCGCAACCTTAGCATATTCCAAAACTCTCTCATGCCAATCCAGTTGGTTCTTAAAGCAGCTATGCAGGATTGGATGGATTTTTCTCAAGCTATCTCTCTTAATTTATGATCTGTTTGCTTTTGTTTTAGTTTGTTCAGGTTTTGGCTCTTGTAGTAGTTGTTTTATCATCTCTAGGCCTTTGGGCAGTGGAGTGTGGTTTATTTTTTCTATTTGTAGTTTTTGTTTGTTGAGGTTCTAGGCCGCCTTGGGCGTGTCCTCTCATTTTTAGTTTCTTCGGGTTTGGCCTGTACTATTCGAACATTGTTCGTTTTGAGTTTATATATATTCTCTATCGTTTCGTGAAAAAAAAAAAAAACGTATAACGAATATATTCCTTGGCCCGACAGTTCTTACATCGAAAAGTTGCTATCAAAATTAAATTTTTCTAGAAAAGAGGATCTTGAAAAACTACTATCAAAATCCCTTTATTTTCTAAAATGTGTGGTGACCAATTTGTAATGTTTAGATATTCAAGAAGCTGAAAGCACCAGCTTGGTTTTGAACTAGCAGGTGCATGAGTTTTTCTGTAGCATTGATATGGTGTAATCAACTAATCAAGTTAGTATAAATTGGTTTTTAATGCTTTTCAAGGTTTAGATTAATACATGAAATGTCCTTATACTTTTGTCTAATTATAAGAAATCTCCATCTGTCCAGACTATAATCTGAAGGGGTACTCACAGTAAGTCTCTATTATTATTAGCAAGCTAATCTTAAAGGGCCTTTACATTGGACCAAGCAGTTTCCAGTTCAGAAATTCAATTTCACTATAATTTTCTTTTTGGGTCTTATAAAAAGGCCTATCTGGTTCACTCAGCTCAATCTTGAAGTATTGGGCAATCTTATTATTTCCTGTGAAGTATATTATCTTAGGAACAATATGTATGCAAGTTAATATTAGCTGATCCTATCAAACATAAATATTATTCAATATATGCTTTACATTACATAATCAATAAATATATAATACAATTATTAGCGTATGAAAACCATGAAATATATTATAAACATATATTTATGATAGTAGTATAATCATAAAAATATCAAATCCCAACAGAAATCTATACAAATTTTCCAATAGTACAACATTCTAAATTCTAATGGAGGCAAACACTACAAATTTCTGTTGCAATTAAATTTGCCTTAAAATTTCAGTCGAATTTCGATTATTCGAACACCATATTTTTCTACGACAGAAATTTTTTTGGAACATGCAAATTTCGTTGATTTTTTTTTTTCCGCCATCAATTTCAATCGTTGAAAGAATTGTCTTAAAATCGTCAAAATTCAATACAAATTCCAACAAAACAGTAAAATTACCGTTTAAATTTTTTCAATTCAAATTATAACATCGAAATATCAACTTGAAGGTAGCATTATAACTCTGTTGAAATATTTGCCACTGAAATTTCACAATATTTTTAGTGCACTTTCATCTTCCAAAGGGGTACGAACAAATATTTTCCAAGGTAACATGATTGAAAAGGAATTTAATGTTAAATAAAACACGGACACATGATAACATGATTGGAAAGAATAACATTAAATCTCACCTAAACATTGCACTCATAAGTCATAACATAATATACGCACCTCATCGCAAGCCAAGAAACTAGAACTCAGTTCAAAACACACATAAAATAAATTAAAAATTGAGCGGATTATTTTTAGAATTAAAAAATTGCGATTAAAAAACTAAATGTCGGACTAAGCTTGGCAATGCGTACGTTTAACTGACGCAAAATTTTAGCTTGATTATAAAGGAGGATGAGTCTCTGTTGGATAGCAAGAACACTCTCTTTTTCCGTTTTCTATGATTTGTTAAATATCTTATCATGTTGTGAGA